GTACCTCCCTCTACTGTAATGTAACCTGTAAAGTCCTGAGTACACCTGTTAGCACTATATAAATAAAATATACATACACTGTATACCTACTGCACTTACTGTACCTCCCTCTGCTGTAATGTAACCTGTAAAGTGCTGAGTACACCTGTTAGCGCTATATAACTAAAATATACATACACTGTATACCTACTGCACTTACTGTACCTCCCTCTACTGTAATGTAACCTGTAAAGTGCTGAGTACACCTGTTAGCGCTATATAAATGAAATATACATACACTGTATACCTACTGCACTCACTGTATCTCCCTCTACTGTAATGTAACCTGTAAAGTGCTGAGTACACCTGTTAGCGCTATATAAATATAATATGCATACACTGTATACCTACTGCACTTACTGTACCTCCCTCTACTGTAATGTAACCTGTAAAGTGCTGAGTACACCTGTTAGCGCTATATAAATAAATATACATACACTGTATACCTACTGCACTCACTGTATCTCCCTCTACTGTAATGTAACCTGTAAAGTGCTGAGTACACCTGTTAGCGCTATATAAATAAAATATACATACACTGCATACCTACTGCACTTACTGTACCTCCCTCTACTGTAATGTAACCTGTAAAGTGCTGAGTACACCTGTTAGTGCTATATAAATAAAATATACATACACTGTATACCTACTGCACTTACGGTACCTCCCTCTACTGTAATGTAACCTGTAAAGTGCTGAGTACACCTGTTAGCACTATATAATAAAATATACATACACTGTATACCTACTGCACTTACTGTACCTCCCTCTACTGTAATGTAACCTGTAAAGTGCTGAGTACACCTGTTAGCGCTATATAAATAAAATATACATACACTGTATACCTACTGTACTTACTGTACCTCCCTCTACTGTAATGTAACCTGTAAAGTGCTGAGTACACCTGTTAGCGCTATATAAATAAAATATACATACACTGTATACCTACTGTACTTACTGTACCTCCCTCTACTGTAATATAACCTGTAAAGTGCTGAGTACACCTGTTAGTGCTTTATAAATAAGATATACATACACTGTATACAGGGGCGGACTGAGAACCCTCAGGGCCCCCGGGCAAAATAAATCAAGGGCTCCCTTACAGGCCCCACCCATGCTCCGCAGCAAGCCCCACCCTTGTTCCGCCTCCAGCCACACCCTACACGATCTTTAGACACAAGGAACAAAAGTGCAATAATCCCTTCGAGGCCCCAATAGAGACTACAATTGAGGGCCAATGGGCCATGGAGGGGGGGGGTCTTTCTAGCAGAGGCTATCTCAGTGTCCTTTAGAGAGTGTGTTAGAAAGAATTCCCTCCAAGCCCCATTAGAGACTACAATGGCTATAATAGGCTTGGAAGGGTGTCTTTCTAACAGAGGCCATCTCAGCATCCATTAGATAGCCCCTGCTGGAAACAGTCGCCTCCAGGCCCCAGTAGAGACTACAAATGAGGGCTAATGGGCCATGGAGGGAGGGTCATTCTAGCAGAGGTTATCTCAGTGTCCTTTAGAGAGTGTGTTAGAATCTTCTCCAGGCCCCATGGAGTCTAATGGGGCCTGGAGGGGGGTCTCTCCAACACTCTGGTTCCTATTCACAATATAGCAACACAATATAGCTCGCTGATACCTAGGCGATTACTGTTGCTGGCAGTCTGTGGGCTTGCTGGCTGCGACTGGCAGGCTGTGGGCTTGCTGGCTGTAAGCCTGTGGGCTGGCTGGCTACTGGCCAGCCTGTGGGTTGGCTGGCTGGCTGGCTGGCTGGCCGGCCTGTGGGCTGGCTGGCTACTGGGGCACTTGTAGATTATTTAAAGAAATAATCCATGCACAATAACCACTACTGCTCTGTGTAGTGGTTATGTTGCCAGGAGGGCCGGGCCCCCCTCCCAGAGTAAGTAGTCAAACCGTTTAAGGACAGTTTGACAACTTACCTGGGGTCTGCTGGGATATGGGGCTGTAGTAGGGTATAGGAGCAGTGGTGCAATGTGTGAGGGGTGCAGTGTGTGTGAAAGGTTCAGTGTGTGTGTGGGGGTGTAGTGTGTGAATGTGTAGGGTGTGTGGGGCAATGTGTGTATGAGGGGGCTCTGTATGTGTGTGGCAATGTTAGTATGGGGGGGCTGTGTATGGGGGTCTGTGTGTATATGGGTGGGCAGTGTATGTGTGTGTGTGAGGCAATGTGTGTACATGTGTATGGTGTGTGTGTGGGGGCAGTGTGTGAATGTGTATGGTGTGTGTGTGGGGGCAGTGTGTTTATGGGGCTAGAGTTCACTCTCACCACTGCGACCACCAGGAATCCCTGGTGGTCGCAGTGTTGAGAGTGAACTCTAGCCCGTAGCTCCATGTAACGGCTACCCTGGTATGGTGAGGGTACCAGCCGTTGGGGACGTCCTTTTCTTCCCGGCAGTCGCTGTGTAGTGATGGAGTCGCCTATTCCCTTCTGCTGGATCAGGAGTGGAAGTCAAGTGCAGCTCTAAAAAGAGCTGAGTGATTATGCTGCATAGATTCCCCTTTCAAGAACGAGACGAGGCTACTTTTTGAAGGGTCAAGAAGAACTGAGGGTTTATTGACATACACTCTCTTTTATGCGATTCTGCCCATGCAAGGGAGACACCCACATAATTAACAGTATAACCAATTGTTAGGACACCCCTGGTGTCTTTAAGAGAAACCGCCGTTTAGTTCACCTTCCCCTTTCGCAAATTCAGTAATCCATTCGCATCAATTGTAATACACGAACCATAACCAGAGGAAGCGGTAATCTCCCGACCGGGATCCGTGAAAGGCTCCAAACTCCTGAACGGAAATCCACGAACTGCTGCTAGCCGCCGAACAACGATATCCACCAAGCGGCTTTCGGTTACAATAATCAGTCTCTAGGCACAAATAATAAATCCCCCCAATAACGAGACAGAAGCTCCGCATTGAGGGTCAAACAGGATCTGGCTTTACTGTGGGCTACCTGCCCGTATTTATGCAGGTCTCCCACTTGGTGGACACTCCCCTAGTGGACCAAATGGGAGACTGTAATGACAGATAGACATGGGGACATTTCAGACATACAGATGTAACCTTTTCCCACAATGCAATATGGTTCCCTCCCCTCTGCCCTGGAGATAATTGAGAAGTAATTCAATTATCTCCAGGACAAAGACAAATCGCCATCTTAAATAAAATGCCAGAAAATACATAAAAATACATAACTTTATAATAGCCGAACATTTCACATTCACATCACATATCCCCAGATAGCCTGGATCTGAGGGCATATTATTGGCGAATAGCGCTCAGATCCCATACGCATAGTTCAATCGCCATGGAGTCAAAGTCCTTACAGTCTTTCGGTATGTGATTGACTCCATGGGAAGGCTATCTGGGTTAAGTCCTTTCGTGTGTTGTAAAACTCCCGAACGGCTGGTGTTCGTACGCTTTCGCCGAGGCAGCCAGGCGACCCGTTGTTTCAGCGGTGTTCGGCAGAAAAAGTTTCCGTTTTTAGTTCCATGCAATCAGTGCCAAACACCGTTGGGCTTTCGTGTGTTTTAAAATGGCCGTTGCCTCGTGGTCAACATGCGAACGACGGCCACCCTGAATTCGGTTTAATTGAGAAGTGTCTGCGGTTAACCACAACGTTCTAATTGGGATCAAGAGGTTAACCAGCAGCACACTTCTATCCTGGGTGGCCATCCGTTCGGTAGATTTGTTAGGTGAAAACAGTCATTCGTATGGCTGGGCTATAGAAACAGCCATTTACACGAAAGGGGGCAGAAATAGACGAATCCACCACAATAGACAGACAGATGGTTCTGTCACAGACACCTATCTTACAACTAATTCCTAACCATATCTACACCGACACTTATACCACAACTTATTCCTAACCCTATCTACACCGACACTTATCTTACAATTAATTCTTAAATCTATCTATACTGATACCTATCCTACAACTAATTATTGACCCTATCTACACTGATACCTATCTTACAACTAATGCCTAACCCTATCAACACATACTGGTATCCTGCATGAGCAGGGACATTAAAGAGATCTCAGTAATAAAGCTGGTATGCTGTGTAACCCACACTGCCCCAGGATCCCCTTCCTGGGAGCAGTGTGGGGAACAGTTGATTTGGGTGATCAAACAGACATAGCATCCCTCCCACAGAGAGAGTGTGGACTACCTGCACTGGAATGGCCTTCGGATTATATAGGCCCAGAGACCACTCCTTGTGGGGAGCTCTCCACTCCCTCTCCCCTGTTTAAGCACTGAACCCTCCCTGTCCCTGCTTTGGTTAACCTTTTTTAAGCCTGTCCCTGCTTTGATTAACTCCTTTTAAGCCTGTTCCTTGGTTAACCCTTAAACATCTGTTAATCCAGAACCAGTTGTGGTTAACCCTCGTCTTACTGATCCAGTGCTGGACCATCTGGAAAAACCTTGTTTATTTGCTTAACCCATTAAAGACTTTATATTACATTTGCTGAATCTATCTGATTTGGCAACAGAGACCTTACTTTATACTTGTACTGGGACATTTTAGTTTTATTATTTGCATTATCAATAAGGAATTTAAGTTCAGTGACTGTGTCTGTTCAAATCTCTGCATACTGATCCCCAAACCCGTGACAGTATAGTGGGCTGAACTTCCCATGAGTGGGCTATATAACAAGCTAGCCCTTTATTATTTCATACTGGCGTATTATTTTTCATACATCTCGGCATTAGATTTACTATTCCATTGTTCTGCATATTGAAGTATTATTACTATTAACATTTAGATTTTGTTAGTGTTAGTAATAGTCCAAGGATCAGTGCTGTGATGTGCATTTTACCTATTCTGGTGTATGTGTACTGTATAGAATATCCCATAGCTGCTGAATACTCTGCTCATATGTGTTTTTTTTCTTTGGCAGCCATGAAAGATTGTCCTCAAATTAAATCAACATTCAGTACACACAGTTGGGCACAAAGTTTGCGCTGCCACATTTCTAAACAGCTCTTATTAACTGGGCACGTTGTCCCTCATGATGTGACTCTCCTAGCTGCAGAAGTGGTACGATTTTTGGAAAGTGCTCCATCAGGATATCATCGAGACTGGTGGCTGGATTTGCTTGACGTTCTACATCTATTGCGACCGTTCCAAGATTGCATGGCCAGTGAGAGGACACTTATCTTACCTGCTTTGGAGAGGCTGTATAGGGCCTATGGGCATCACCAAGTACTCCTGGGTGATTTGGATATACCCGGTGCCCTGCGGACTGCCTTCCCTTTTGATAAATCTGCACTTTTCACAATACCCCAAGGTAACAAGGACATGTGTGAGTTCCATTTACCGCCAATTTACCTGAGGGATTTGCCGGTCTGCGTGGGATACGTGGGGGCAGAAATGGCAAGTTCAGAATCAGTATGGCATTGCAGCCGAGGTGGTACAGCCATGGCACTGAAAACCAGGCTTCCCATGGACCTAATGCCAGACATAAGCTCTCGTCCTCACAGGTAACTCTTTAATCATAGCACTGCAAAGTGGAGTTACTGTTATTCTGTGGCTCTATGCTGGGGTCTATAGGTTCCCTGGGTTACTGTTATTCTGTGACTCTATGCCGGGGTCTATAGGTTCCCTGGGTTACTGTTATTCTGTGGCTCTATGCTGGGGTCTATAGGTTCCCTGGGTTACTGTTATTCTGTGGCTCTATGCCGGGGTCTATAGGTTCCCTGGGTTACTGTTATTCTGTGGCTCTATGCTGGTGTCTATAGGTTCCCTGGGTTACTGTTATTCTGTGGCTCTATGCTGGGGTCTATAGGTTCCCTGGGTTACTGTTATTCTGTGGCTCTATGCTGGGGTCTATAGGTTCCCTGGGTTACTGTTATTCTGTGGCTCTATGCTGGGGTCTATAGGTTCCCTGGGTTACTCTTATTCTGTGGCTCTATGCTGGGGTCTATAGGTTCCCTGGGTTACTGTTATTCTGTGACTCTATGCCGGGGTCTATAGGTTCCCTGGGTTACTGTTATTCTGTGGCTCTATGCCCTGAGTTAGATATTCTGTGGCTCTATGCAATGGTCTATAGGTTCCCTGGGTTATTGTTATTCTGTGGCTCTATGCAGGGGTCTATAGGTTCCCTAGGTTACTGTTATTCTGTGGCTCTATGCCGGAGGTCTATAGGTTCCCTGGGTTACTGTTATTCTGTGGCTCTATGCTGGTGTCTATAGGTTCCCTGGGTTACTGTTATTCTGTGGCTCTATGCCCTGAGTTAGATATTCTGTGGCTCTATGCAATGGTCTATAGGTTCCCTGGGTTATTGTTATTCTGTGACTCTATGCCCTGAGTTAGATATTCTGTGGCTCTATGCTGGTGTCTATAGGTTCCCTGGGTTACTGTTATTCTGTGGCTCTATGCCCTGAGTTAGATATTCTGTGGCTCTATGCAATGGTCTATAGGTTCCCTGGGTTATTGTTATTCTGTGACTCTATGCCCTGAGTTAGATATTCTGTGGCTCTATGCTGGAGTCTATAGGTTCCCTGGGTTACTGTTATTCTGTGGCTCTATGCCGGGGTCTATAGGTTCCCTGGGTTACTCTTATTCTGTGGCTCTATGCCGGGGTCTATAGGTTCCCTGGGTTACTGTTATTCTGTGACTCTATGCCCTAAGTTAGATATTCTGTGGCTCTATGCCGGGGTCTATAGGTTCCCTGGGTTACTCTTATTCTGTGGCTCTATGCTGGGGTCTCTATGTTTCCTGGGTTATTGTTATTCTGTGACTCTATGCAATGGTCTCTAGGTTCCCTAGGTTACTGTTATTCTGTGGCTCTATGCCCTGAGTTAGATATTCTGTGGCTCTATGCTGGAGTCTCTAGGTTCCCTGGGTTACTGATATTCTGTGGCTCTATGCAGGAGTCTCTAGGTTCCCTAGGTTACTGTTATTCTGTGGCTCTATGCTGGAGTCTATAGGTTCCCTAGGTTACTGTTATTCTGTGGCTCTATGCCCTGAGTTAGATATTCTGTGGCTCTATGCAGGAGTCTATAGGTTCCCTAGGTTACTGTTATTCTGTGGCTCTATGCTGGGGTCTCTATGTGTCAGGTTACCTTTGGTGTCTACCTCGGAGGAGGTTAGACACCTAGACGTCCATCCTTCCAGGGGGGCTGACTCACCCGATCCTTGCACTCCTCCCGGTCATTTACACGCCGGCCGCGATAGCTCCGCCTCCTTTTATGACGCGGCGCTCAGTAGCCGACGTCATGACGGCAATCACGTTCCGACCCGTCAATCACGGCAACCAAGTGCCGAACAACCAATCAGGACCCGTTGGGGGCGGAGCCAACAGTTAAAGAGCCAAGGTATAAAAAAGGGTTCTGTGGAATGATTCATTGCCCTGTCGTGGTTCTAGCTAGTCTGGTCACTCAGTGCACTTACCTCTATTGTCTTTTGGTTCCTGACTCGGCTTGTATTCTGACCCTGCTTTACTCTCTTGTCCTTTTGACCCGGCTTGTCTCTCGCTTACCTGATCTCTCGCTCCCTCGACCTCGGCTTGTCTCTGACCATTCTTTTTGCTCTCTCCTTACGTTAGTCCGGCCACTCTAAGGTCCGGTATACGTACCTATCTCCTGTTTGTATTCTGCGTGTTGGATCCCTGTCACGATCCTGACATTACGACAGGGCCAATGGATCCTGCAGGTACAAACTCTCAGGTCGGTTCTCCTGACTCTAGATTTGAGGCCATGGATCATAGAATGGACCAGATGGCTCTAGCTCTGCAAGCATTGCTATCTCGTCCTAGTAATCACTCAGAGGAGATGCGTACCCATCTATCTCTCCTATAAGTACAGGCCTAGAGGTAGCCACAGTGGCTACTTCTTCCCGTGTTACGTCCCCGTCACGCTATGGCGGCGCTCCTGACACTTGTCGAGGTTTTTTAAACCAGATAGGTATTCATTTTGAGTTACAACCCCACGCTTACCCTGCTGACAGGGCGAAGGTTGGATTTATTATTACCTTGCTCATTGACAAGGCACTTAGATGGGCTAACCCCCTGTGGGAAAATGATAACCCGTTAGTTTATAACTATAATGCTTTTGTCGCTGCATTTAGGAGAGCTTTTGACCCCCCAGGAAGAAAGGCCAATGCAGCTAGACTACTGTTACGTCTTAGACAGTATAACCGAACCCTCGTGGATTATGCTTTAGAGTTCAGATCCTTGGCGGCAGAAGTCAAGTGGAATGAACAGGCTTATATGGACGTATCTATGAACGGGTTATCTGATGAGATTTTAGATGAGGTGGCCACAAGAGATCTTCCTGAAAATTTGGAGGATCTGATTTCATTTATTTCCCGAATAGATGAACGTATGAGACAGAGGCAGAATATTCGGGATAGAACCCGCAGATCCTCCATAAGACTAGCTCCCTCATTTCAGAGTTCTGATTCTACTACCTTAGCTCTCCCAGAACCTATGCAAATAGGTAATACTCGACTCTCAGAAGAGGAAAGACAGTACAGGAGAAGGGAGGGTCTTTGTATGTATTGCGGAATTAGAGGTCACCTACGCCTAAATTGCCCTAACCGGCCGGGAAACGCTCGCACCTAAGTTTCTCAAGAGGACAGGCCTTGGGTGTTTCTATCTTGTCCTCTATATATGATTATAAAGATCATAGGCTTCTGATACCTGTTTCTTTAGCTTGGGAAAAGGGAGTACTTAATGCTATGGCTTTTATAGATTCCGGAGCAGCTGAAAGCTTTATTGACCAAGCCTTTGTCACTAACCATTCTATCCCATCTCAGCTAAGGGATACACCCTTGGCCGTTGAGGCCATAGATGGTAGACCATTATCTGAACCTGTTATTCTTCGTGAAACCATACCAATTAAGTTAACCACTGGTATCCTTCACGAGGAAAGAATATCCCTCATGCTGATCTCATCTCCTTCAGTTCCTATAGTCTTGGGGTATCCCTGGCTTAAGAAGCATAACCCTATCATTGACTGGGAATTGGGTGAGATAGTCTCCTGGGGTCAGGGTTGCCAGAGAGGATGTTTGCAGAAAGTCTCACCGATTTGCAGGGTTGACGCCCCGGTTAACTCTTCCCAATCTACAGATTTACAGATACCGTCGCAGTACCTGGATTTAAAGGCGGTCTTTGACAAAAAGAGGGCTGATACTTTACCTCCACATAGGTCTTTCGACTGTAAAATTAGACTCCTACCTGGTACTATGCCTCTGAGGGGTACGGTATATCCTTTATCCACTAAGGAAAACTTAGTCCTAGAGGAGTACATACGTGAAAACCTAGACAAAGGATTTATTAGGAGATCATCTTCTCCGGCCGGGGCCGGTTTCTTTTTTGTAGATAAAAAAGACGAAACTCTACGGCCTTGCATTGATTATCGGGGCTTGAATAAGATAACTGTTAGAAATGCTTATCCTATTCCTTTGATTACTGAGCTCTTTGATCGACTGAAAGGCTCCAAGATTTTTACCAAGTTAGATTTGAGGGGAGCTTATAACTTGGTGAGAATTCAGCAGGGAGACGAATGGAAAACAGCTTTCAATAACCGTTATGGCCACTATGAATACACGGTAATGCCCTTCGGGCTTTGCAATGCACCTGCAGTATTCCAGGACCTTATTAATGAGGTTCTTAGGGAATTTCAGCAGGAATGCGTTATAGTATATTTGGATGATATACTAATACACTCTAGAGAGATTGAGACTCACCACAGACAAGTCAGAAGGGTACTGCGCAAACTGTTACAACATGGATTGTACTGCAAATTGGAAAAGTGTAGCTTCGACCAATCTCAGATAAACTTTCTTGGCTACGTTATTTCTGGAGGCGGATTTAGGATGGACCCCATTAAACTCCAATCGATTTTAGATTGGCCATTGCCCAGGGGACTCAAGGCCATTCAGAGATTTATCGGATTCTCCAATTATTATAGGCGCTTCATTAAAGGTTACTCTTCTATTATTGCTCCTATTACCAATATGACTAGACAGGGTGATGATACCAAGACTTGGTCTACAGAGGCTCTCTCTGCTTTCAAAACACTCAAAGAACATTTTGCCTCAGCACCGATATTAGTTCATCCTGACACATCTTTGCCTTTTCTACTCGAGGTAGACGCCTCGGAGACAGGTATAGGCGCTATCTTGTCCCAAAGGCTAGGTTTGGATAAACCGTTGCATCCATGTGGTTTTTTT